GAATATGCAGAACTTGGCTAATATGTGAATAGACAAAACTCTTACTTACGGTTATTATTTTACTTTAGGAATGTCAATGTTAGTTTCTATTCTGCTAAAAATTTAAAGGCCTTTTGGCTTCAGAAAGGACTGCTGCGTGGGATGGAAACTGCTGGTTTGTACCTGTTCGAGATGTTCGTTTGCATAGCCTCCGGGCTAGTATGGGGACAATGAAGACAGCGATGCGCGGTTCGATAGCACCAAAATTATTCTGAACGGTCTCCGTTCAGAAAATTTGGTGCTATCGAACCGCCCTTCGCTGCTGTGTTATCCGTTGCAAATACTGGCAACAAACAGGGGCGGTTCGACAGCACCAAATTTTCTGAAAGGAAGCCCTTCAGAAAATGACAGCGAAGGGCGGTTGGATAGCACAAACTGGCTTTGACAGGGTATATATATGTGCTGTACGATAACTATATTATGTTGTATTATTACATTGCAGTCTTGAAATATTTCGTTTAGAGTCTTTTCCTAAATGCATATTATACGTGTACAAAACCATCCAACTTCAAATAAACTTCATGATATAACAGAACATAACCCAATGTCATGTAGCGTTAGTTAATGTAATGGACTGTAATCTACTAAGGCATGTTATCGTACAGGGTATGCATTTCAATATATCATGACAAGACAGAACAGAAATAATACAACGTGATACGATATAACCAGTACAGCATCATATATCATAACTGAACAAAATAGCAAACAATATCATACGGTGTATATAACATGCTGTAAGGCGTTATGGTATAATATACTGTTCAATACCATAGCAGAATAGAAACTTATATTCACGTTCTTAATGTAAAATAACAGCTTGATATAGTATTCATATATTCATGTAATACCAGCCTTTTTATATAACATTAGACTGACTTGTAACATATCTTGCAGTACTGCCAAAACTGGAATTTACCTTTGATGTAACAGTTTCTTTACCTCAATACACATATCATATTGTATTAATATATCAATATAAGATAGAATAATACAATTATTATATGACAGATCGCATAAAATCTAATCTAAGTCATGTCAATACGGTATGTTGCTTCCACCTGTATATTGCTTCGAAGCCCGCTTGTACGTAAAAACTTCGGCCTCGAGCCCCCCACCTCCCCCGCCCCGGCAGCCCCCGCACCCCCGTGCACCCCACCCAACCCACCCTTGCAGGCACAAGGAGATACCCCCCATAGTCTTGATTCAGAGGCTTGAATCCTGGACGTCATAGTTGTTGACATCCTGCTGCACTTTCGCTGCATATACCTTGCAGAAAGCGGCTCTCCCAAGCTTAACTCTCCATGTTCGACATTTGGCTCAGATGCGGCCGTCTCGGTGCTTATGATGCCTGAAACAATCGTTTCACACGACTTGCTTGGAGAATTTCTTAAGGTCTGACAATGCCGATCAACACAAGCTGAGCTGCTCTTCGTGTTACATGTGGACCCAATTGCAGCTACCATATCAGTCTTTGGACAGGTATTGGGCCCGCCACCCTCCAAGCTTCGCTGCCCTTCTCGCCGGAAGTGGAGAGCTTGTCAAGAAGGAACACCCTGGCAAGATGTCAAAGTCTCTGCAAAAGAGTACCGCTTCGCGAAGTAGCAAGCTTCAACAGCGGCTTGCTGTTTCCAAGCATGTCAGCATCGCAGCTCCTCCTTGCCAAGCTGTGGCAGTGGAGTCTCCGAGACCACGACTCTGCGTAGGAAGGGGCGAAACCTTCGCCACCGCGCTCTCGGGAGGGTGGCCAGCATTCCATCATGACGAAGTGCCGCCCAGTGCTCGGACACACGTATAGAGGGAGTCAAACCGTCAACAGTCCTGCCAATGTGCTCGGTTTTGCGTTTTTGCTTGCATGTCAAACTTTCGACGCAACAGCAAAGCCGTCATCACAAGTATCTGTGAGGCAGACATGTCTGCCTCTCGCGCGTGTTTCTTGCTCATGAATCTGCCGCGGGCGTGATACCAGTAAGATAAGCTGCGGCTCTATTAACTGGCAAGGCATCTCAAATCTGCATCAAGTACAGCCCTCTCACTTTTTTGCAGCTAACGACGTATGTTCTCAAGAGCAGCTGCACAGCTCATTGTGTTCGCCTGCAGGCTTCAAGCTGGTAAACAAAAACATTCTGCTAACGAGCTGTTCATAATAAACTAGATGCTTGCTATCAAGAGGTGTGCATAAGGTATTTGGATCTCCCTCTCTCGTTCGGCCTGCCTCAGCCACTTGCATGAAGGTTGTCTGCAATGTAGGACGCCACTACCTGCAAGCACAGACTTGACCGCCCTGCAGATACTGCATGCAACACTCTAAATTTCATGACAAACGTGGTTGCCGCGGCTTGGGACGATGCAGGTTGCCTCGTGGTCGCGGGACAAGGGCTCTTGACCCTCTGGAAAGAACAAGGCCCTGTGCTTCACTGCCACTTCCTTAGATCTCTCGCACGCATGGCTGGTTTCGGGGATGCCTCACAGTAAAGCCCCTTAGTATGACCGGCAACCTTTTGAAACAGCGTGCCCCATGCAGTCAAGCTACCTGGAAACACCCCAGGAGAGCAATCTCAGCGGAAACATCCTGCGTCAGTCACTGATGAACAGAGACCAACTGATTTCTAACACGCCCACCTTCCGAGTGAGAAGGATTTAGTTGCCAAACAATGCCAAAGACTCACAGATAGCCTTTTGGACCAGACTCTGCTTCAGACTTCAACAACCGAGACCGAAGGCAACTTGAGCAGTGGGTCTGATCGGGCGCTGCAGATGTTTGCACGTGTCGTCCTGCGACGGCTCCTCTTTGGGCATGGCCTGAGTCCCAACACTCTATCAATCTATCGATCTATCCATAATCTATCTGTGTTCCCCCCAAAACCCAAAAAACACACTGTTCCCAATAATGAGTGTACTTGTGTCCGGAGCATGTAGGAATGGCTCGAGACATATCTGGACCTGCATGATACCACTGAGTTCCTCGCTTCCTGGGCAGCTTGAAGCTCCTGCAGACTCAACCCGAAGGCCCAGAAACTCCCCAAACCCTAAACTCTGCTCCAACAAGCTCTTAAACCAAAACCCCAAACAGTCTAAACCCCCGGGCCCTTCCAGACATCGATGCGATGTCCAGCAAACACGCAGAGGTCCAACTCGGGGATCCCTTTTTTTTTCTTGGGGGGAGTCCTTCTAATGGGGATCCTTTTGTGCAAGATCTACGCATGGGGGTCCCTTAAGAGCTCTATAGGGTTCTACAACAGGGTTCCCTTTGTGGGGTTCCTTCTGTTCGGGACATCCCACATGCCAGAAATCTTGTTGACAAAAATGGCTCGCCTGGAGGAGGCTCTGCAGCTGCTGCTGAAGGTTTTCCTCTTCTGCCTGGCAGCGGCTACTTGCACCTATTATTATTTCTCTTATTACTATTGTTACTATTATTGCTAGTATTGCTATTATTACTACTGTTACTATTGTTACTATTATTACCATCTGACAAAACTTCAGAATGTTGAATGCCTGGTTCAGAGACTCGTGCCCCGTGTTTGGCATCTCACAACAGGGGTCCCATGTCCCACAATTTGGCAGGTTGGTGCTCGGCAAATAACTGGGTCACGGGTGTTTTGCTGTCTCAAGCATGACTGGCGACTGTCGAACGATGGGACAGCGCATGCTCCTTGACAAACAGACGGGCCCCCTTCAAAAACAAACGGAGGTAGTGCTTGGGAGACAGTCTGGCCTGGCCATGACAAGGGCATATAGGTGTGGTTTGTAAGCTCTGCTCACGAAGTGCACGGCACCATCCTTCCTTCGATGCCTCATTCCGGTGCGTTGCAATTGAGCTTTTTAAGTTCTTAAACCCGGCTGTTTGATCGTGGTCCTGGGCCATACCCGCTTCTCCAGCACATTCCAACATTCACGGCAGCTGATGTTCCTCATGTTGGGAAAGTCCTCCACTGAATCTAGTTAATTAATCTTCCGCGATTTTCATCGAATGAAATTGAATTGACCAGCTGCCCAAAGGACAAAGAGCTTGCCATAGCCGTGATCACAAACCATCGAGCCTTGTTCGCCTCAAATACAGCAGGATCGAGCATCAATAAAACGAGCCAGGAGCACTCGCAGCATTTTCACTTCAGCCTTGTTTCCACACTTCTGGGTTCCCCACAAGGCACAGATCGAATGCAACAGGCAGCACACCCCCCGATGCAGCATCGAGCCTCCTGAGGCAAGATGTCACTGCCAGCACCTAATTAACGGAACGGGGCACCGCAAAGTTACCGGCGCAAGAGGAAGAGACTGCGCTTTAGCCTGTAGTCCTTTGTTTAATGCCGTCGTCGCGCGTCCCACAACATTCTGCTGGACATTGGCTGAGGACAGGTGTCTATCTGGCACGCTGGGCTTCACGTTTCAAAGCCTAGCAGTCACGGTTTCCCGAAGTTCAACATTTGTCAAGAACATGGCTGTTTCAGAACACTTTGCCGACCAAGCTTTTGGCGCATCTTCTGTCGTGTCCCTCACAAGAAGTCTCTTGACTGCAAACTTCGTGGAACCTTTATGTACATGGGAGAGCAGCAGGTCCGTGAGAAGGGACAGGAACCTGCTGCCCGCAACGTCCGAGCTCAGTTCTCCTCACTTGAGGCATCGCTCGAGTCATCTCTCTGACGAGCCGCCTTGCGCCAGAGTGAAAGGGCCACATGTGTCGAAGCGGGGGGGGGGGGAGAATATGGAGCCTTCTCCTTCTTGTCGACCTTCTCCTGACATGTAGTGCTGGTAAATGCCCCCAATTGGCTAGAAATGAAGCCTTAGGGGCTGAGTATCCTAGCCCAAAAAAAAGGTTAACCTTTCAGTTATGGTAGGATTATATAAGCCCAAAAAGGTTAAAGGCTACCTACACAGCTACTAAGAAGCTCATTTGGTGGTTTTCCTCGGTCTCTCCTTCTCCTGCAGCTTCTGCTGCTTCGAAGAGTAGAGGCCCCCCGTGGCACCTGACTTCAGAAGGCTCAGAGCAGCTGAATGTCCTAAACCCTAAACCCTACCTTGAACTACCGAAACCTCCTTTTTTGTAGGGTCCCTATAACTTCCATATTAGGGTTTATAATCAGAACCTGCAAAACTGTAGGTTATGGTAGCAAACCCTAAACCCTGTCAGCCATGTGCCAGGAGCTGCGCAGTAGCAGGACCACGGGGTCGCAGCAGCAGCCCCATCCTCGAGCTCTGAGACTTCGAAAACTCCACCCTAAGCCCCGAAAACCCTAAATACTAAACCCCCAAGGGTTTAGGGTTTAGGGCCCAAGCCCCTAAACCCCCAAGCCCCTAACTTTAAGAGCCCAGGAAACAGTTTAGGGAAGTCCGGCCTCGGGAGGCCACGCCAACTCCGGGACCTGCTTTTGCATCCAAGCTCACACCCTTCTCACTGCAAGGCCTGACTTGGGTTTTTTTTGTGAGACCTCTTTTCCACCTGCCCCTTAAGTTAGGTTTTTTTCGGCAAGTTTGGTTGAGGCTGTGTGTTAGGGTCTAGGGTTTAGGGTATCTCCCCAGGCTCATGAAACTTGTAGCGTGTTTGCAACATCAGCTTCACGGAAAAAAACTTGTGACCACAAGCCCTCTGCCACTACATGTACACGTAAAGGGGGGCAGGCTTGCAGCCTCTAGAAACTTTACAGGAAGAGCCCGAAGACAGAGCATCGCAGGCATACATCGCCACATCTAGCAGGAAGAGCAGGGCCTGAAGACGCGGAGAGCACAAGAACTTAGGAGATCCGATGCTGCACCTTGTGCACCACCTCATAGAAGTCCAAGTCGTACTTGAGCATAACCCTGAAGAACTCCTCGCTTCAAGAAACCGGCAGATGCGTCAGATGTGTCCAAGACCTGAAGAGCAAGCCTTACGCGCAGCGCGGTAAAGGATCTTGCCCGGGCCAACGCCTTTCCGCCGTGTGTCACCTAGGAAGGTGGCGTATTTCTCGTGGGTTCAGGATTTAGAGCATATCTAGGCAGAATGCGGGCCAGCTCTTGGCGAGTTACACCGTTTAAAAAATCCGGCACCAGAAAGCATCCGAATCGGCAAAGGACTGCGGCTGTGCCAGAATCGGTTCCTCTATGGAGGCCAACGGCCGTGAAATCGCCTGGCTAGCATTACCCAGCTCAAGTTGCCGGTGCCCTGAGCCGAAGAGAAGGACAAGTAGCCAACAATAATCTTAACCCGAGGGGCACAAGTACACCAGCTCCCCATAGTCCAGCAGGCGTGGGCGAGTGACCCAGCGCCTGTCACGGAACCAGGACTCCGGCACCAACTTTCAAAACAGCATGCTGAAGTCTCCACGCGGATCCAGATCAAGAAAACACTCTGCTTGTGCAGCGACACAGGAACTTGCTGGGCTTTGCTTCAGCCCTTCCATTGTCATTCCATAATAAGCTCTAGCGAAACGACACCAGCCTGGTGTGCTCGATCATCGCTTGGCCTTTGCGCTGCAGCCAGGAGCCCTGCCACGGACTTGACACGAATCGGCTTCCCGCAGGTCGTGGGTTGTGCAGTGTGTAAGATGCTGTGTAGGCTGTGCAGTGTGTAAGATGCTCCGTCGCACGGCCAAGAAAATACCAGAAATAGGTCTGCTACCCCTGTTGCTTCTTCGCACTGGGTACGTACTTCCTGCACAGATTGACAGTCAATCGTTCCGCAGCGCCTTCTTTGACTTGCTCCTCCACAGCCGGCTGCTCGTGACAACAGTATTGTGAAGTTATGAATTGCGATATCTCAGATCATGATTTTGCTGAGTCCATGGCCTGTGCTGATTCCTGTGGGATTCCTGCATCTATTGAACATTACCGGATAAAGCGCACATGCACAAGGCAAGTGCATGCACTTTGGTTTAATCGAGCGGACGTTGTGAGCATGTCCTTGAAGCTGACATTTGCGGACATGGACTTGAGAGTGGACGTGTTCATCCTTGGCATGATCAGCGTGAACATCGGAAGACACACACAGGATTTGTGTCACGACACCGTCCTTTCAGCTCCACAACGGAGCACATAGACATATGGCGGCCCAACTCCACTACCGTTGCTGGCAAGGCTTCGGAATTGCAGGCACGTGGCTCTTGGCTGGCTTGGCTGGGCATGTGTGCCCACTCTGCCTTTGCAAGACTTCCAGTACACTTAGCAGAAGTTAAGCAGTCGTGGCACAAGGCTGCCGGCAGATCGTGTCAATACCAGCTTGCCTTTTGACACAATAAACCTGTCAGACTGAAGAAAGCCTGCCTCTCCCTCTTCCTCCTCTCCTGGCATGTGCAACAATGGCAGGCCAGATTGGTGAAGCTCGCTGTTGTTTGGCTGCCGGACTTTTGTTTCAGGCTCTTGTGCTCACTTGCTTCCGCAGTCTGCCAACGGTGAAGGCCCTGAAGGCAATGCAATTGGTAGTCATCATCGCAATTATCATTCGGAGTAATCTTCCGAACAGTCGTCATCGACAGGTTGTTGAGCACAGGTGCCATCTGCGCCTTCAACACGCAGCTCGACATCCGGGTCCTGGAGATCGGCGAATATGCAATCGGAAGAAGCTCAGTAAACCCTCGACGTCATACCCATGACCTTGACACTGCTTGCGCTGATGCGTCCTCATCTTCCGCCTCCTCGATGCGTTCGCGCCTGCTGAGGTGCCCCAGATAGCCTTGATCAAGGGCTGACAGCTGTTGCGCCTCATCGGCACTCGGAGACGTTGGAGCTCGGCTTGTAAGACCTTCAATTGGCCGTGAGCGAAACGCAGGCGACCACATTACGAGAGCTGTGACGAGAGTGCTGGAGCCTGCTGGAGGTTGAGACCGACATGGCTCCACTTTTGACCCGCATTGCACAACTCCCCATTGAAAGGCTACAGTTTCCACTGCCACATGCGCTAATAGCTTCCATCTAGAACTAGAGGCGACACCGACTACAAGACAAGCTTGTAGTGAATAAGACATGCTGGCAAGCTTCAGAAAGGAGCTCCGCGATTTGCTCGCTGGCTTGGAGCTTCCCCTGAGTTGAGTGTGTACATCTCAGGAACAACGTCGCAGAAAAATCTCTGCACAAGCTGTCAACAGCACAATCCGACAAAGCCAATGACTCTTGTTTGAGGAATGCGACTCAAATCAGGATGGGAACCGTTTTCTCGTGGATTCTGCATTCTTTCATGATTCCGGGATACGGGACTCTGTGGGATCACCTCAGGCGCGGGCTTCCAAGAGCCTGGCCGCCTGCAAAACCTTCTCCACCGTAACCTCTTTCTCGTCGTCTACGTCGAAGGCGCGGAATGCATACCAGATTACCTGAGTATCCCTTATCGGCCCAACTGTAGGACCTGGCGGAGCTGTTACATGCTCCGGCACCTCTTGCTCGCGCGACTTCGCCGGAGGCATGGTGCAAGCCTCGGGGCTCAGAGCTCGGAGCAACTTTGAGGACCAATCAGGCTAGAATGACTGGAGTCGCCAGGGTCCGACGGCCGTTCTCAGGCAGCTGCTGCAAACTCTTTGGAGTCTAAAAACCTCGGGACGTCAGATCATGTTCCCAACGGGGCCCCAACACACCATCACAGCCTCAGAAAAGGAGAAGGAGGGAGGGGGAGAGAGAGAGAGGTTAGAGCCTACCTCGCACCCACATGTTCCATATATGTGTATATGTGTACATACTTGTATATACATATACTTATGCGTATACATATACATATACATATACATATACATATACATATACATATACATATACATGTACATGTCCATATGCATATGCATATGCATATGCATATGCACATGCACATGCACATGCACATGCACATGCACATGCACATGCACATGCACATGCACATGCACATGCACATGCACATGCATATACATATACATATACATATACATATACATATACATATGCATACGCATGCATA